GTTTATAAATAAATTAACTATCTCTTGACCATTTTTTGCTAATTAGATTTAATAAAATAAAAAAAATAGGTAGGTTATGACTAGATCGTGTATCATTGATGTACTTCCAAAATGATTTTGGATCATTTTTGAGGCCAATATATACCCTTGATATAGTTGCTAAAGCAAATTTCACATAGCCGTTTACATTCAGCTCTTAGGTGGGAAAATCCAATATAGTCATCTTCAGAACAATTGTTAACATAAATATAGTGAACATGTTTTTTCTCCAGGGTCAGATTTCTAACATCAGCAGAAAAAAGTTGAAGTTCTATATTTATTTTAAGCCACAAAGTAAGCAATTCCTATAGAAACAACTTTATAGAGACCACGAAAACAATGGAACGACAACTTACTGGAGGCACATTGAAAAACTCTACATAAAAATTAGAAGCAGAAGATTTTCTTCTTGTAGTTCCATAATTTATGCTTCTGTGATTTATTTATCCGAATACTAAATACTGTTCTAATGATATCCTAGTCCTGGTATTAGGAATATTGTAGTATATGTAACGGCCATCGTGTTTAGTACCCTAATCCAATTAGTGAATTTTTATCATCCTTCGTTTTTTGCCTCGTCCGGTTTGGAGCCAAAATAACCAGGGGCTTTAAAACTACCGGAGACTGAGAGCCTCTATATTGGAAAAAAACTTGATAATTGCCTAAACCATCGCGTAACAAGAAATATTGTAACGCGACAATTTTTAACTTCAGGAATGGCAACGGACAATTCGTAACGCCCTTAATTTGTAAAATCGACAGCTAGCAATAGTCCAGTCAATGACCAATTTCTCTCATAATTTTTTGAACCTGTACACATTTGCAAAACTTATTTTGGTCGCATTGGATATCCGTACAAAGTTTGAAAACATAATTTGCATGTGCGACTTCATGTTTTCTACATGATTCTGATTCAATAGTTAATTTGGTGGAGAGGATTCGCAAAATAATTACTCTATAATCCCCATATTTCGTGAAAGGACTGCACAGTCAGTAATTAAATTTCGCTGCTCAATCACGTCTGCACAAGATGTATTTTAATTAACAACTATTCATGTATTGCATAATATTGTCTAAGTGTTAATTATCTCACATCATATTCAGAAATTCACGTGCGCCTTCTGATACAACCGGAGCTCTTCGCGGGTGTTTAAGGTCACTGGTAATAGTTTTAGAAACATTTAAATTATTTTTAAAATTCAGTTTTTCTATTATAAAGGTAGTGGCAATGGTTCAAGAGCGAGTGCAAATTATATTTAATTCAGCGATTTAGTTTATCGTTTTAAGCCCTTCAATGATATCAATGAAGTCCCCCTTCACAAGTCACAGGGCCGTGAACCCATATATCTTAAAGGATAATACATCTAAATCATTATGGATTACATTTGAGTTAAATATGAAATAATTATTTAGAAAGAATTAATTAGACAAATGTTGATGTGCAATAATGGCAGAACTTATTTTGAGTTTTGCCACTATTGCACATCAACATTTTGTCTAATTAAGGTAAAGACAAAACTGTCATTTTTTTTGTTATTCCTATTAACTGAAATAATGGTTTATTTAAGAATATTACAAGGTACTTAAATGAGAAAATGTATTTATAAACATTTTTTACGCAGTTTAAATCAGCGTGAATTGGTGGAAAGCTCTTGTCTTTTCAAAGGCTAGTAAGGTCTTTTTTCTTCTTTTCAGTTATTGCCAGGCTGTCAGTGTAAGCATTTTCTAGTTCTATAATATCCATGCTTTCTAAATCTTTTCTTGTTTTTTTCTTGGTGATATCCTCATTTTGAAATAATTTACAGCGTACTTATACACGGAAATTAGGTAATTGTTTTTTAGTTGGCCACCACAATCGTCTGAGTAAAATATAAATTTCAAATTCTAAGAATCGGTTTTTATAAATGTTTGTTTCAAATACATCAGCAGGCACGAACCAATTTCTATGACACCTTCACTGCCTTCTCCTTCGTGCAAAACATAGCTGCGCACATTTCTCAGTCCCGTTTTCTGAACTTCACATATAGGGAAATGATATGTTGATAGCTTAGATTTATAATAGAAAGCTGAAACGTCTCCTTTTGGTGGCGGTATAGCAGCTTGTAGGTCAAAACAAGAACTTTTTGTAGTTAGTTACGTCTCTTTTGTTTTTGAACTTTGATGGTATAAAAGGCAAATATCGAACATAGTAATTAATTAAATCTTGCCCAAGTACTTTCGATCAATAGATCATCCTTAGGGGCATCTGAAATAAGCCAAGAAACGTTTTTTAAAAAAATTGGGAATTAATTCACTTCGATAAAAAACTCGAAGTTTATGGTTGAAAAAAGTTTTTATGTGATAAACGTTTATAGACTTACTTCGTCAGTTGTGGCCTATCCGACATGAGCAGAATGTCATACATGTAAATTTGGACATAACAATACAATACACAAAGACAAACAAACACTTTAATTTTTTTTTTTTTTTAATAGAGAAGCTACATGTTATATAGAAGTCGGAGACAGAATGGCTCCCGGTCTGGCGGATATATTGACATGTGACAAATGACAGCTTGTAAAGGGCGGTTACAATAGATATGATGCACCTTTCAAAATTCTATGAAACTAAGTATTGACCAAAGGTCCAACTGACACCACTACAGAAAACCAACTGACGAATATAAAATTATATAGTATATTTTTTTATGTAGATTGAATAATCCAAATCTCACACTCAAACCTGTCTATAATAATTAGGATGTTAGTTTGAGAGCAATTGAAGTTGACATAAAGTATGAATGTAAGAAAAAGACTAAACAATATATTAGACAGTGGATGGTTGACTACAATAAAATGGTCCACCAAGCGCTATCAGTACTGTAAAAAAGGAAAATGCAGTTAAATTAATAAAAGTTAAAATCAAAATTGAAAGCAAAATATATAAATGGGTTATAATCCAAGTAGTTCAGTTGAATCCACAGTCAATGGAAGAACTTTAAAATTATTATCGAAATGCTCAGTGCATGAAGTCTGGGTCCTCTACAAGGTGAAGCTGTAATAAAGTTTTTAAATATAGGATTAAATTTAGTACAATTTAAATTAATTTGAGTATTAAGACAGTGAGAGTTTTCGTTTGTTTCCCTTGTAATCTCCAAATCTTCATAATCTAACTCAAGTAGTTTTCTTCTATGATCTTCTTCTTTGAGTTGGATTTATGAAAGATTGAGATTACAAGGAAACAACGAAACTCTCACTGTCAAGATAGTTTTTCTTTCTATGAGTCTTTCTTTCTTTGAGTTGGATTTATTGAAAGATTTGGAGATTACAAGGGAAACAAACGAAAACTCTCACTGTCTTAATACTCAAATTAATTTAAATTGTACTAAATTTAATCCTATATTTAAAAACTTTATTACAGCTTCACCTCGTAGAGGACCCAGCTCGACTGTTTAGACTTCATGCACTGAGCATTTCGATATTAATTTTAAAGTTCTTCCATTGACTGTGGATTCAACTGAACTACTTGGATTATAACCCATTTATATATTTTGCTTTCAATTTTGATTTTAACTTTTAGTAATTTAACTGCATATTCAGATTATTCTTTTTTTACAGTACTGATAGCGCTTGGTTGACCATTTTATTGTAGTCAACCATCCACTGTCTAATATATTGTTTAGTCTTTTTCTTACATTCATACTTTATGTCAACTTCAATTGCTCTCAAACTAACATCCTAATTATTATAGACAGGTTTGAGTGTGAGATTTGGATTATTCAATCTACATAAAAAAATATACTATATAATTTTATATTTCATCAGTTGATTTCCTATAGTGGTGTCAGTTGGACCTTTGGTCAATACTTAGTTTCATAGAATTTTGAAAGGTGCAGATCACATATCTATTGTAACCGCCCTTTACAAGCTGTCATTTGTCACATGTCATCTCAATATTTCCGCCAGACCGGGAGCCATTCTGTCTCCGACTTCTATATAACATGTAGCTTCTCAATTTAAAAAAAAATTTAAAGTGTTTGTTTGTCTTTGTGTATTGTATTGTTATGTCCAAATTTACATGTATGACATTCTGCTCATGTCGGATAGGCCACAACTGACGAAGTAAGTCTATAAACGTTTATCACATAAAAACTTTTTTCAACCATAAACTTCGAGTTTTTTATCGAAGTGAATCAATCCCCTTTTTATTAAAAAACGTTTCTTGGCTTATTTCAGTTGCCCCTGAGGATGATCTATTGATCGAAAGTACTTGGGCAAGATTTAATGATTAATTAGATATTGTGTTCGATATTTGCCTTGTATACCATTATAGTTCAATTATTCGAACATTCAACCTTATATTTCTTTTGTTTTTAGCTCCCGACTTAAGCTTTTCTCCTTATGGTGGACATTATAAGCATCTTCTAGGGCTATATTTTTTTTCACTGCTCAAATTGTTGTATTTTTTACAATGGTAACATTGATATTTTTTAAAAGAAAGAAATGCATAGTTAAATATATAATTAAAAAGTTTACGATACAAACCAGTTTTTACAAATTCATCATTGTCTCTTTGGCAATTAGCTTTATAACCATTGTACAGATCTGTCTATGTTTTGCCTCCTTCTATATATTTTTTGAGGTATTACTTCGACAATAGTGATTCTCCATTGTCAGAATTGAAGAAAGGTGTTTACGAACCCTGTTCATAGTTTCATTACAAAATGTTTTATGCGTGCTATGATTACCTCTTTGATCGTTGTTTATAAAGCTACTTTTTGTCTATCTAATAACACTTGATCTATCTATTAGTAACTCGAATAGTGGATGTAAAAAATCTTTTGCATACTGTTTTATTCTGATTACAGTTTTCCAAATAAAAAGTATGATTATAATCACGGCTTCATGTGTTACCTTTATCTGCATATCGATATGCTGGTCTAATTGTAGGCATGGATCTCAGAATATACCTTCGTTGCTAAT